ATTCCCGCAGAAGGGGATGGTACGCTTCTGACAGCAGCCCTCATTTTTACAGGGAAAAAGTGCAGCAAAATTAAAAGTTCATAAATGCTGGACTTGTCAGATGACACCGRAACCGACCTGAATAAACTTTATAACTCAATATGAAGTATTTGAAAGCAGGCATTCTTTATTTGCGCAGGACACAGCCGATCTTTCTTTATTCTGTCTGTGGAGTGAGACTTTACAACAAAGTTTTTATTTATTACAGTTACACATTCTCAGTAAAACATTTAATATGTAAATATTTTCCTAGAACTAAATTGCTTGCATCCACCTCTTACTGGAAGTTTATTAAGAACCAGCTCTGGTGGTTGTGTTCACTGAAGGCTTCGATATTACAGTTTTCCTTTAACTTTTTCTTTGTGTGTACACTGTTGTTTCTTGTTACATAAAGTTTGGTAAAAGACCACTGCAGGCTTCCTTATCTGTTTCTCTGCTGGTTCCAGCTAAGTTTATCGTCATGTGGGTACCTTTACATTCTTTTATCTTTTTWTTGCCAGTTAGTGTTTCAGCAACTTCAGGGAAGCTGAAAATTTTTATTCTTTAAGTTATTTTTCACAGGTTATTGGAGATGTAGCAGGTTCTCCGGGACATACACCTACCCACCATACAGAGTTTTACACAAAAATAGTAAAGCTTTTGTACTTCTCAGCTTGTCAGAACTAAATGAAGGTTATCCAAGGAATACACATTTGTACTGATTACACATGGACGGAATCTTGGCTCTTTTGTGCCTGCATATGGCTGGGACTGCTTTGACCATCAAATCCACACCATTAATTTAGAGTTTTACCTAAAGGTAATTGCTTTGACACGAGGGTTATTTGCAGGCAAAGCATTCCTTGTTTTTCATTTTAATGTTAATGAAAGTTGTGTTTCACTATGATCAGTAGTTCTTAAGACAGGTTTATTGCACTAATTCTGCATACCCTTAGTGGTGTTTTAAAACAGTATTACTAATYCTTAATTTTTAAATCGTTGCCTTTTGTGTAATTCAGTTATAAAGGGAAGGAGGTATGTAGAAGTAAGTAAAATCTCARAACTCAGGAATAAATGCCCCCTGAAACAAAATTCTAGTGTAGAAACTGTTAATACTATTCGCAATAATCAAGCTTTTCAGAGACAGTAAAAGAAGAATTTTTTAAGCTTACCTTAAATAATATTTCTTCCAAGATTTTCTTGATAAATTGAGCTCTTGGCCTTGTGAGAGCATTATGTACTTGAAAAATAGTTGAGAAGTCATCATACAAGAGGCAGTTACCTCATTTAAAATTAGTTCTGAGGTGYAGATGTTTCTGTCATTTCAAATAACCCGAGAATAGAGAAATATCTAGGGTATAAGTTGTGTATCTGCCCTACTGTGTGCATTTTTTGGATGCTGATCCAAAAAAACCAATATAATTGTCAGTAATGTGTATTACCTATTACCTTTCTAATCAAGAAGCTGGACTGACYTCAAACTATTAAGCAGGTCCATGAGCCCATTTTATTCTACTGCATTTATATTTAAGAAGACATTAGGTAAGCTTTAGTCAGCATTTCTCCTTTTTAAAAAATACATCCTGCTTTGCATTGCAAGCAGTCAGATAAACAGAATGATTCRCCATCCTTCCCCTGCCCTGTCTGTGTGATGGTCCCGCTCTGCATCTGTTCACTGCCCACGTGAGCAGCAGCTTAAGGAAGGAACAGACGTCACCGTGCTGCGCAGCCCTGTTCAAGGCTATGACAAAAAAAAATTTATAAGTGAGCAGTATAAGAAATCCTTCCTAGTCTGTTTAAATCATTCAGTTCTACATCAAGTTTCAGATTTGGTAAAGTGCAGCAGAATGCARAAACCATTTAAATTACAGTTCACAGAATGAATCCATACCCTTCAGGTCTCTAGTGCAGATTGCCAGTTCTGCAKCAGATGGGCAGTGCTTTAACACTGCTGCACATCAAATGGCAATGCACATGTTGACTCCTATTGAAAATGAAACAGAGAAGGGAAACAATCTTCCTGTAGTAACCAAGGACAAAAAGCCAAATCAGATTTTTTTTTTTCCCAAAAATTATGTTGGCATATCATAGTTGAGTTTTGGAACAAAATAATGTCTTAAATTTTGTGGGTTGGCGAAGAATACGGAGAGCACTCTCTTGCTGGTTATTTCCACAGTCTGGCATGCTAACAGGGAATAGTTAATTTTATTGATAATTGGTGTTTTAAACTCTAGGTTAACAGAAAGGRGTTTCCACAACTGAGGAGCTTGTGTGGATGGGGACAATGCCTAGGAGACATGAGGAAGAAGGCTGGTGGGGGACACAGTTGGCCAGGGACAACAGGTTGCAGGATGTTCAATCATTTGCCCAAGGAAAGGGAACGTTAACGCAGTGTGTCAACAAATACAGCCTGGGAGAGAAACCAGAGGAATTAGACATACCAGCTCAGCTGCAGTCCTGTGACCTTTTTGGGATCACAGGAGCAGTATTGCAAGGAAATTACGAGTGCCATGATGGGAGGATTCAAGCTTTTTTGGAAAAGCAGACASGAAAATGTGTGGAAGTTGTGTCTTACACAAAACAGTTTCTCTTTGCCTGGAGATYTCCCCTGCCTGGAATAAGCACTGAGCCAACTGAGGGGTCAAGACTGGTGGGGAGGCTGGCATGGGGAACATTGTGGAGCCACCTGCTGTAAATTGGCTGATTGGAGGAGGAAGCAGATGAAGCCTTAAATAACTAAAAGGAGCTCACAATTGCAGGCACAGGCTGCTTTGGAATACAAACTTGCCTTGCTATCTGGAGGAGCACTCGGTGAGGCAAAAGCAGTTGAACCAATTTTTGTGAGTGCTGTTTGGCCACATGACTGTGATTTCCATGTCCTTTAGTCCTTCTGCAAGCTGCATATTTGAGGCCCTGTTCTGCCACTAGAGACATCAAGATAAAGAGGAGGTAAAAATGATCAAGACTTTAAAGCAAAATTAAAAAACAATTACTATGATTTTAGGTACTCTTGGTCTTTGATTGTCTTTGCTAAACGCTTGTAATACCCAAGGACTGTGAGCTTTCCTGTGGAGTAGTAGACTGATGCGGACTTGTCACAAAAGCTCACCATGAGGAAGGAGGTTATCTCTGTGCTGAGGCCCCTTGGTGGCACAATGACACTGCTTCAACTCTGATTTGAAGAGCCTCCTCTTATTAAAGAAGTCCAATGGGTCCCTGTGCTTCATGTTTGAGGTTATGTTGTACAAGAGTGCATGACATGAGCATAGAAGAAAATGCTGGAGGTTGCATGTGTTCATTGGTTTTGCGTGCAGTATGTTGTATATATTTGTGGCAACTGAAAGCATGACCTTATCTATATAAGGTTTACTTGATATTAGACTGAACAAAAGCATAACAAATTGAATGAAAGTAGGCAAAAACCCTCCAAACCCTCTTGACTCAGTGTTTGGTCTGTGAAGTGTTTTTTTGAGTTAACAGAATTCTGGGTAATGGCATATTATCTTAAATAATATGGCTATCTAAAAAATAGTATTGAGAGCCTAGAATGCCAAACACAGATTTTAAAACCTAACCCAAAAGCCAAAGAAAGCTAGGAATCTGGGACGTGCAGAAGAGAAGGGAAATACACTGACTAGTATCCCTTCTAGAAAATCTACGTTGAGCTTGTACCCTAGAGAGGAGGTTGAGTGGTAGCTTTTGCATCTGGAACCAGTGTTGTTCTAGATCCATATTTATATCTGACCCCGAAGAAGGGTCTCCAGCAGGCCTGGAGATTGTGAGTACATAAGGACAGCTGCCCTTGCTAAGGTCATGGTGTGTGATGCCTCCTGCATTCTTGCTAAATGTCTTCTGATTCTCCYGCAGTGTTCAAATGGCTCTGCCAGCACTTAGGAGCAGCTACAGTACAACCATGCTTATTCCAGCAAAAAGATTGTTCTCTTACCAGGTCTTACCAGTGAAACACTGCCAGGTGCAGGTTTCACTCTGGCTTTTACAGGGTTTTTTTATGTATCCCTATGGTAATACAGTGCTAGCAATGTGTCAGCATTCTGTTAAGTTTTGTGGTGGAGAGTTGATGCAGGTGCTGTGTTTTCAGTCCATTTGGCTTTAAAGAGACATAATGGTGTAAAAGCTGATAAGCATTGTGATAGCTGTAGGTGGTTCTACACTATGTCTTTGGTTTCTCTTTCTCAGCAACACCTGCAGTTGACATAAGAGTTACTGCATTAATAAATTTTTAATTTACAGATAATATAAAATATGTCCAAAAATATTTTGTTATTTAGTAAGTGGACAAAGTAACACACAGTTTCAAGTGATCAGGCCCTAGAGTCAACCCAAATGCCATCATTTTTTATATTTATTGTACCAGTATATTTTCACATTACTTCTTAGTGCAGTTTGTCAGTCATTGTATGCCAACTGAGACTGTCTTCTGGATTAAGAGACAATTGCAATTTTGCGGTAGTTTTGCTCCATCAGCCTGGCATAAAGGTCTTTTGCTARTATGTGGCTGTAAGCCCAGATATTTGGAAATTCTGTTTCTAGGTGCTGGCACTTTTGTAGATTGATAGATTCATACATCTTCTCAGACAGGCGTTGGAAAGGTTGCAGGATAAGTCAGTCTGTGGGATCTGTGCCCTGTGACAGAAGGGGTCTGTGGGCAGGGCTGTGCCAGCACCTCTTCAGCCTTCAGCAGAATTCCTGGGTTACTTGGAGACCCATCTGTGTTTCAAGGAATTGATTGAAACAAACATGAAGTTTTCTGAAGAAGGAAAACATACCTGACACGGATTCAGAGTATCAAGTAGAGTTTTTAAGAGAGGTATCTGGCTTTAGGAAAGGTTTACTGGTTTGGATTTAGGAAATGCAGCTTGGGCCCCTGACAGATTATTTTTGGCTTCTAAAATCAACAAACAAAAAAATAACCCACTTCAGAAAACTGTTGTCTGATTTRAGAGGAACTTTAGTTCAGAAATTTATTTCTATATTCACCATGTGAATATGTATGTACATAATGCATACAAATGTATGATGCCCAGACTGGCAATGTTGCCTGTCTAATGTTTATATATAATCATCCTTGCCCGTCTCAGTTCTAGGAATCTTACAGTTTATGCAATTTGCGCAGCATGAATAAGACCTTCTTTGTAGGAAAACCTGTTTAGTTATTTTGTTTATTGTAATCTAAAGGTCAAGAAACAGTTTTAAATACAGTTTCTAAGAAACAACTGGATTTACAGTCCTCGCTGATCTTATTAAACAAAACTTTGTAGTTAAGGTACCATCTGGGAACTATATATGAAGACTGTTCTAAAAGCATGGGAAACTCAGGTTTATATGAACTTGCATATTTTTTGTAATATATATTTTTTGTAATATATATTTCGCACTTATTTTAAATGGAACTCAAAATGAGAACACACAAAATCTGGAGGCACTGAAAACAGCTCTCCACCAAGGTAAAATTATCAGTAACAATCCTCAAAAATATAGAAGAGAAAGCAGTATATAACTAATGGAAGAATTAAATCAGTACCACTAGCCGCTTGTGATCTTTAATGGAAAGAAATACAGAAAATGAATTTTCTAAACATAGATAATCCCTTGTTTGAGATCTGTCAACAAAAGGGAAAAAAGCTTATAAAAATCAAGCCTAAGTTATACACCATAAGAGTGCTTTACAAGTAACTTACCACACAGTGTAATATCTACACAATGTGTTTGATAAATGGAATTTCCACTGATTGTTTACAGATTTCACTACTGTTATAATCTCATCCAATCTTTCAAAGACACTGTGCTTGTATAAATAAAGATTAGTTGGCAAAGTTAATTATTGTAAGAGAAAAATGACTGCTAAACTTGGGATGCAATTGGAGTCTAGAGATTGTCTGTCTGCTGCCTTCTACTTTCAGATGCTGAGGTAGTTTTGATTAAGACCCTGGATATTCTTAAAAGGTCTTTTGTGGAGGTTGCTGTATATGGTAGAGAGACCCAAACTAACTTTGGAAATGTAATGCTGGGTACCAGAGGAGAGCTAATTGCAGSAGCATAAAAGAATTTGCATTTCCAGGGAAAGTGTTAATAATTGAACAAAGTCACATGTCCAGTTCTACACAATGTTCCCATATTACAGATTATCTGATCTATTCCACACAGGAAACTTTGGTTCTCAAGACATTTCCCCCTTGATCATTAAGATGTCAAAGCACTTAAGAGTTGCTGTTGAWTTAACAGAAGATAGAAATGAATTGGAGTTCTGTGGTGAACAGAGCTGGTCCTATCCGGTTGCTGCCCRCTAGTATTTTAGAGTAATTTCAATTAACTTAAACTAAGACTCAGAAAGTCAAGATATTAGCTTAATTGCATATCAGAAGAGGCAGTTGAAGGTTGCTGTGATCACCCAATGAGGCACAGAGCTACATTTCCAACATTGAAGGCTGTACTCTTCGATGATTAAGCCAAAAATTACTGAATACTTTGGCTTCTTTTCAGGTATTCCTACAGACTTTCCAATTGTGATCTGTTGGCCTGAAGTGACCTGTGCAAAGGAGTACAGCAGGGCTTTTCCTGTGCTGAACACACATCACCACTGCACATTCCCACCTCAGGAACCACCTGGCACCTCAACGGTTGCTTYGTCCAATTGAGGACACAGGACATGTTTTACTGAAAACTTCCTCAGATTTTTTGAAGAAAATTGGTTGTTGCCATTCATAGATGTGACATAATATGCTCTTTGAGAAGTATCCTTCTCACACCTGTCAAGAGGACACTAAATAAGCCTCTCAGATGTCTGTGATTAAAAGAGACACATCTAGATTTTGTGAAAAGTATCCTGTATGAGTAGTTCAAATAATCCAAAAATATGTGATCAAACTGTATTCTAGAGGTAAAATATATTTAAACCTGGTATAATTAAAATAGGAATTTTTAGAAACTTCTTAGTGAATTTGTTTGAAAAAATCATGTTTGCAAAATATATTCTGATTCAAACAGCTCTGGTGTAGTCAGAGGATTGGTGAAAAATCTTCATACAGTCATTCAATCTATACAGTAAAAGATGAACCACATTAAATACATCCCTCTCAATGGATGTGTGTGTTTAATTTTCATAGGTGGAGATTCCTCAAGGAATCCATTCCAGTGCTGCATTATCCTTACTACTAGCTTCCCAAAAAGTTAATGTGATTCTTCCTTGCTGTGATTTAAGCTTGTTATTTTTGCTGCTGCCTGACACTCACTTGAAGTTCCAGAGCTATACATGTATCTAAGGATTGGTATCATCTTCCAAGACTGTTTTTTTTTTCTTCAGGTTAAACTTTTAACAGTCTTTTTAATGTTTTCCTATATGACGTCTTCCCATACTCGGTTGCCAAAACTGCTTCTCTAGATTCTGATTAGTAGCCCATCTTTGGGGTAAGATGTGGAAGGTCTTATCCAAAACTAGATGTGCTTGTATTTGAATTAATGCCAGTTCTAAGTGAAGTGGGAGGATGAAACTGTGCGCTGTTTAGACCATCCTCTTATGCTCCAGTTTGCGGGAACTCTCTGAGAGAAGGATTCCCTGGATTCACACACAGTAAACAGAGTCAAGAATCTGGAATTATTTCATATAATTAAAAAGGAATTATGTGACACTGCCTTAGTGTCCTTTTAGCTGGATTACTTGATGTGGAGTGAGTGCCATCTGGAGGTTAGAAGGCATGGAGCTCTGCATGCTTTCATGCTGAAAAACAACATCTCYGTGCTTTACAAATGAAATGTTCTTACATAAGTAGGAGTTTGAGCCTGACAGATACTGGGCACCCACCACTCAGTGTAAAGTTTGTGACCCACAGAAAGACTTGCATCTGCTCAGTATGTCTCAGAGTTAGGCATGCAAGTGAAACGTCTCTTGGTATTATGCAATTACCAATAAATATTTAACCTCTGAGTGGCCTGTGCAGTTTTTGGAAAAAAGYTCTGGAGGGCACAGAGCAAGGAAAGTCTTGGACTACTCACTCCTTTCCTGCTTTCAGATGTGTGAAAATAATTGAGTTCCTGGTGCAGTCTTCTGCTCACAGGAGAGAACAGAAAGCATTTTAGCTTARCAAGAGGTCTGTTTTAAAAAGCTTCCCATATGGGGTGTCTGAAYTCAGTTCTCCAGCATAATTCGTGTCTGCACAGAGTGGAATCAGCCCTCCTCACCTGAGCTGGTTGCATGATGTGGTTTTCATTCTTCAGGTAACTTAGTTGTCATCTCAAAAGCCTTAATCCTCCAACAGTTTTCACCATCTTGCGGAAGCCAGGAGGAGAATTGCTTGGAGTCATGACTTCAGGGTGTGAGACTTGTCTCTGGCTTCTACAATGCCTTTTTTTTGCCTGAGACCACTTGGATCAATGATCACACTGGTTACAGTGGTCACCTTGTGTGCTTCTGAGCTGCATTCTGCCACTGAAGTCTTATCATGTAAACAAACAGCTTTAATTGCAAAGCATAAGTGCACCCATCTCCACATCAGTCTGGTGAGAGGCTGCATCCTGGTGTGTCAAGGCAATGCTAATGGCTTCTGTGTAGAGCTCCACTTAGGACTGAGCATAATCCTGCAGAAGCTACACAGAGTTCAGAGGACAGATATTGTGTGCACACTCTCCATGCTCTGCTGCTTGCTGCTTTGTCTCTRCAGAACAACAGGCCATAAAGATTCAGCCTATGTAATGAAGGTGCACTGGCTGAACAGGCTTTTGGTACTGTGCTGATTTACCTTGATGATGGTTTCCCTGGGCAACCRCAGATTTTGCAAACTATGAACCTGTTAAATTCAAGGCTGACAATCCTGAGGGTGTAAGACAGGTTGCTGAGCCAACACGCCTCCAGAGCAAAATGTGAAAGCCCGCTTCCTTGTCAATGAGTTTTCATCAGCTGAACCAGAAAAAAAGTGTAAGAGAAAGGAATTTGAGAGCAGCAAACCTACAGAAAGAAAAATGAAAACTAGTGTGAAAAATATTTGGTCACCCACCCTCAGCAGGGAGTGGTGAAAAGCACAGAGCATGTCTCACGTGCCTTAAGTATAATTCTTTAGTGCAAGTTTATACATGCAGAAGGTGAAGAATGCTTATCTAACTACATGCAACAAGCTGCTGCATTTGTATGGTGCTGGCTTTCAGAACTGAATGTGCATTGTTTATGTTGTGACTCATCTGAGAAATCTCTATTAATTGTTTTAACGAGATAAATTTCATGAAGAAATTGTCTTTTGTCTGTAATCTTGTTCTTTCTTATATTAGTGGTATGCTTACTGTAGATTTGCATGGGGAGATGGATGAAATCTGTGCTATCTGTATATGGCCCAGTCACCTGAAATACCAAGAGGATCATTTATTATGGCATTGTTGGACAACATCCATTTTTACCCATGAAAGGACTTGCTTTGTTGCTGTTACACTGAAGCACTTAGAAAGCTGGAGCTCACCCTGAAGTTCTTCTTTTGTGCTCCATTGCTGAAGAAGTAATTTCGTATTTACCCTGCCCTGCCAAGCTCAGTATTTATTTGACTGACAATATTTTGGTTGGTTGAGTTAGGAACTTTGCTTGAGAACACAGACATGTAGTTTGGCAGTGGCTTCTGCTCCTTTCTCTTACCCTGGATAAAACAAGGACCATTMATGAGTTTTCAAAATTACATCCATTGTTTCTTACAAAAATACAAGTTACTTGAATTGTTTAGAATATCAGCACTTCTGCTTTTGAAATTAGAATTTAAATGTACTTCAAAATATCACGCTGACTGTACATGAAAGTGTTGTAGAAATAAAGCAAGACAATTGGGTTTTTTTCCTGTTGTCTTATGATAGGCTAACAGAGGGAAAGAAATAATTTTAWAGTGTGTTGTGTAAAATGCTATCTGGGATGGAAAGTTAGCCTGCTCTGGAATGGTTGTGGTGTGGGAGGTTTTTTCTTTAGTTTTTAGTAAGTAGCTTGGGTTTCAGCAGAATGACATCTTACAAATTTTCGTCTGGGAAGTTGGTTCTTCCAGCCCTTGTGTTTCAGCCAAGTTGTTAACATTGAAGCAGATTGAGCACRTACAGGTAGCAGATGAAGAAACTTCAGTTCTTTAATTTTTCTTGAAGATTTTAGTCATAAAGCATTTCCCAATAATGCCTAAGTATGCTTCAATTTGAAATACTAGCTTAGCTCAAATTGACGAAAACTAAAAAGAGCATGGGTACAGATGAATGTCTGTTCAAAACTCACCATTTAGTCATGGTCCTTTAGGAAGCTCCAGTTCTGGTGCCTTGGAATGGAAATAAAAAATTCAGTGTCAGTTTTTCTGTTTTTAAAGGAATTAGTTAATTTTGATCATAATTGAATGCCTCTTCAGCTGCTCAGTTTGACACTTCCAGCCCAGTTTGACACTTGCAGATTCCTTGTACTAAAACCTGTCTTTTCTGTGATGGAGCCCAGGGTTTTATTTATTCTCATACTACATGAGGAGTGGATGTTTTCTTTTGCTAAGGGAAAGTGAGGATACCATGCCCGCAATGTATTCCTTGTGCAAATGTAAATAAATTACCCATGTCCTGAGTCACTCTAGAAAACATTTGTCCAATGCCTTGAGCAAGACACACCATCTCAGTTTTTAAATGACCAATACTTTGCCGGCATAAGTCCCTGGTAGGAATTCCCAGAGCCATATTGCTGCAGGCAAACATCCATGGGAGTATTTTGTGCAGGTAGGCAGCTGTGCTAGAAGCACATGGAGTCAGAAGACCTGAGTTTTGCTCTTCAGCTCAGTTCTATACCTGGTGTGGGACCACAGGGCAAGTCCTTTGATTTTCCATAGTTTGCTTTCCTTGGCCTGAAATGGAGAAAATACCAGTTCACCCACTGTTGTAAGAGTATGGTGAGTCAAGAGAGGAAACAGTTTTACACAGCTTTATTTGCAGCAGGGYTCAGGGTACACCTGGGTTGACTCTGAGCTGCTCACTTGTGCTGCATCTAAGCTCATTGAACTAGTGCTGAAGCTGAGCTTGTCTGTGCCGCACAGCCATATACCATGTGGGGCTAGGAGCACTGGATTTCTGTGCTGCACTCCCCTGTCCAGTGTAGATATGCCCCAGGTGCAACTAAAATCGAATTTATGAATGTTCTGTTTATCACTATATGTCTCAATATACCAGCACAACACTGAGGTCCTAGAAGTTTTTATCTCGATAAGTAGGCATTATTTGAATGTTTTCAGATTTGGGTATAACTGGATGGTGCTAATTAGTGAGAAATGTCATGGTCTCAGGTATTGTCCTACATCTACCTCAGGTCAGACCATTTAATACATACCTGCCTTTCTCCCTCATTGTTTTTGGGATGGAAATGTGGAATTGAAGGACAGCCCCCTGCAGGCTGTAGGGTGTGTGGTTTGGTGAATCCAGCTTTAGGCATCTTGTTCTTCACCAGTCTGCCCTACCCTTTAGCAAGAGTTTGTGTCTTCATAGCTAAAACTGGAAAGCAGAACATACATCAGCTGTATGGAGTGTTACACACTCAGTGAGTTTGCACCAATATCCATGCCTGTCGACCCCAGGGKCAGGCAGAATCCTTCCTGCTGCCTTTGCTAAGGAATGAGTATGGAGCAGGCTGAGCCTGTTGAGCAAGAGTCTGAGTCTCCCAGCACAACTGGGAGAGAATAACACTGCCCTGGCTTTGTGTGCGTCASAGTTCTTGGCATCAGCCTGTCCTTCAAGTAAATGCAGCCAGACAAGAGTGCAAACGTATCTCTGGGGAAATCAGGACTGTGATCTGTATCTCCTCCAGTAGGCTGAAGAGGGCAAAGGTTTCCAGATGATTTCTTTTTCCATTTTAAAAAATCCTGAGAGTGATGCTCTTTTTCTTTCCTTTCGCTTGGGCAGCACACAGTTGGAAATGGAGCTGCTTTTAATTTTATCAAGGATATTCTTCTGATAGGTATARTGATGCTGTGTTCTGAAGTATGAGCATAAACACTTACTCAAGATATGTGGTGGAGACAGGATCTTAAATTTGGGTTCCTTTGGGTCACTGGTGTGTGCACAGTCAAAGCTTAGTTCATACGTGTACAGCTCAGTCTGCTGAAACACCATTACAGTGGGGCAACTTCAAGAGATTTACAGACTGGGAATACAGAATTGTATTTTGGCAGAACATTCTGTTCAGCTTCCATTTCAGCCATTTCCAAGACTATGAAAAGAGTTGATAATATCAGCGTGTCTGCAATAAATTACAAAGCTTGGCACTTTTATATCTTCATTGTGCAAATYGACAAAGCTAGCAGATAGTTAGCATACAGTTCTTTGCATCTCTTTTCAGCTTAAGCCCAAGCATGCTGGAAGATATTAGCACAGATTTTGTCCAGTGAAGAACAGGGATAATGTAACCCTAGAAAGGAAGGTATTAGGATCTGATCCAAGGTCCCTTGTTTGATAGTGTTGGCTTTGGATCAAGCCCCAAGGCTGTCAGGGAGTATCAGTACCATTGTCAAGACAAGCAGAAGAGGCATGAACTGGAGCAAGTGACTTACCAGATTTTCCTTCCTCTCTGTTGAGCCTCCACAGACTCCAGATCTTRTCCTGTTGGACCTGGTCTGGCTGGCTGCTGGTCTGCCCAGGCCCAAGCAGCCACTTGTGCAGTGACAGGTCAGCTTGGTTGGGTGCTGCTGGGACACAGGAGCTGGGGCTCRTTGTCCCAGAGGTGTGATTGCTGTTTGTCACGACCTAACCAAGATATTTCTCCTGAATCCAGAACCCCTTCCCAAACTGTCCATTTTTGAGACTCACCATATGTCCAGCCTTTTTAGATATATTGTGACTTTTCAGAAAGTGAAACCCATTTTTGTTTGCGCTTTCAAAGCTCCTTCTCTCCTAACATTTTCTGTCAGCTGCTGCTTTGAAGTGCTTTCAGAAAAGAACATGCACAGCAACACTGACAGGCAGTGCTCAGCACTGCTTTACTTCTCTCTTATTTAACACTCCTTTCCTACTGCTTTATCTTGCATCATTGCTTGAACACTGAGGGGGTTTTCATGGTAACAGCAATTTCTTAAGAAGTGACTCTAATTGGAAGCAATGGGATCTCCAGATGTAACCAGCAAATTCTTAGCTTACAAGGTGATTACAGTGACTGCAGCTGAGATCAGCCTCTATCCAAAATCCTCAGGACAATAAAGTCTGATTTAATAGCAAAGCGTGCTGTGGAGATTGCTGCTGAGTAATCAGGAGGACTTTTGTTGTGGTTATGTAGCAGAAGCAAAAACTTCTGAAAACTGCTGGTTTCCCTGGCGTGTTTACTGTCTCGATTGGAAAGGTCTGACTYGTGAATATATACCAGAAAAGGAGAAGAGACCCAGTGTGACAGCTGCTGGGGCCTTGAACTCTGTTTGGGGCCAAGATGTTTGGTTAAAATAAAGTGATTCAAGGAATCTGTTCTGAAACCTTATTTTTAAATTAAAAAAAAAAAAAAGCAGTGAGAGATCATCAAAAGTCTTTTCTAAGCACTTAGAGAGTTTTGCAGATGTTATTRAGCAACTATGAGAAGTTTTTAAGTAACTTTAAAGGGTCATTAGTATACAAAGTGAGAATTTTCAAAACAGTGTCCAGAATGTCAGTGTTTGTCTTTGCAGTCAGCCTGTTGAGCTTCTGCGGTATGAACTCACTTCGTCAAGTATTTGTGACCTTGCAGGAAAACAGAGTATTTCACGTATAAATTTCCTCTGAAATTCTTGACTGACTTGTTTTTGAGTAGGGTGATGAGCTCCAGATGAAWTCTAGCCAGATGAATTCTAGTCTCTTATTTTGTCTTTCTGGTAAATGCTAATGAACTTTGAATCTACTTCTTCAGGGGGATTTTGGCAAACTTATTTACTTGCAGTATTGGGAACCACATACTGAATTTGGCAAATAATTTCTTTTAAAATAGTTACAACTATACAACAATCCAAACACTTCATGAAGATGGGTTTGAGCAAGAAATACTTCTATAATTCTACAATAATTTTGAAAAAAATATTCTGAATTTGAAGATTGTGATAACATAACTTAAGAAAAGGTAAATTCTACCTCAAAACCCCATGTTTGCTTCGGTTTTGAATTAAATTTTAGTAGACKTTTTGTTTGTTAGCTATTTTTTCTGAGATAATTGAAACCTGAATAGTGTTTTTCATCTCTTTCAGCCAAAAAGCAAAAAAAAAAAAAAAAGTCATGTACCCACATAGCATTATCATGAAGTGAAGAAGTGAAGAAGTGAAGTGTTTTCCAGCTTGGACTAATATTGTCCCTGTTCCTCTTGTGGATTCTGCTTATCTTGTTGCATTTGTTCCAGGGTCCTCTCCAAGCTGGAGTGTGTGCAGCTGGTTGGAGAAGAGTGTTTTAGCAGCATCTGATTGCTTTGAAAGGAATCTGAGGCACTTTTGGAAGACCCAATGCATTAATCAGAGTGCATAGGATTTTAACTCCTAATCTGGTTGGGAAAGGATCCTGATGGAAAGTCTGCTCCTTTTAATTCTTGTGTATAAAGCTCTTGTATCAGACCAGAATTTTAATTCTGACCCTTTCTTCAAGTCAATTTCTGCAAATTAAACAGTAATAAGCTAAAACTGTTTTACTGTGAACAGCCTCCAAATGACTACTTGCAGCCACCGAATAAACTGGACAGAAAGACTGCTAGCAAGTGTTTTAAGTCTGTGCCATTGTGTGGTCTCAGCAGACCTGGTGCAGATATTGAACTTTTTCCCTTCACTTTTCCCATTTACCAGTTTAGCATTTTATTTGAATTGGTACAACTGATTTACTGTGTACATCTTTCCATCCTGCAGGTTGATGTTTATTGTGGCTTCATGTCACATATATCTATGTAAATTCATTAGAACATCTTGATTTTTTTCTGGTTGGGGACATTAATGAAAAATAATTATRAGTGTCACTGTGGAAGATGGCCTYTGCTTTGMAGTTTGTTTTTTAATTAATTCAAAAAGCAGTCTCAGTGCCTGTCATTCTGAGGGAGAAGTTGACTGAGGTTAGTCTTTCGGTTTTACCGGACAATTGATGATATGCACTACAAATTCATCTGGGAAAAATATGGTAGTTATTTCCTTTGAGTCAAAGGAAAAGCTGCCTAGAGAGGCTTTTTATAGAGGAAAGAGTTCAGGTGTTTGGACAAAACCTTTTTATTTGACCACAAGAGGGTATTGCAGTATCAGTTATGCAAGACTGTAACTAATGTTTGCCTTTATGAGCATTGCCTCATTTTTAAAACACATATTTCGCAAAACTGATCATTTATATTGGTTAGTAGTTAGGAAAATCAGGTTTTGTWTGCCACAATTTTATGTCCTTGTCCAAGGGCAATTTCTGAGCTGTTTTTTTCCTAAAATTTCTAGTAACAAGTTTCTTACAGCTTAAGAGGTTCTCCTCAGTCAAGGCAGAGACTTAGTTACTTTTGAAACACTGAAAAACTTCATGGAAATGGCTTGCAAGAATGCATGAGCAACAGAAAGGAAATAATAACAGGAGATTRACGTGTTGCTGCTTTGTCTGGAAGTGCCTGTTGGTCCAGGATGGGACCTGGCACAGTCAGTGAGACTGATCTGATTTTTCCATATGGTTTTACTTGCAGGAATAAGTTCTGAAATCTTTTTTAGCTCATTTGTGTTTCCCAATTTTCTTATTTACATCCAGTTCTTCTGTAGTGTACATCCAATGTCAGTTTGTACTTTTCTTTTTATAAGTCAATACTGTGTTGCAATACTTTCCTACAAAAGTTTTGTATTATAAACTTTTAAGAGCTATGTTGTCAAATATGCTATGTTTGTGTCATGTTTTGTACTATTCAGACCGTGGGAGGGGGACTTAGAAGGATTTTTGGATTCTTCCATGCCTAGATCTACTGCTGAATTTAGGAGAAGGTGCTTGGATGCCTGCATGTCTCTCAACAAGCTCACCTGTAAAAGAAGTAGAAGAGCAGCTATATCTCATTATCTGTGAGGAACAAGTTTCTGAGGGTTCTGATAATGGTTTGATGGACCACAAAGCAATTTTCCTATAAGAAAGTTTATGATCTGTTGCAGACATTTAAGTAGCACACGCATTTAAAAACCTGGGTGCAGGATATATATCGTGCAAATATGAGGCAGAAGGAGAGGGCAGCTCTCTGGAGAGCAGCTCTTCAGAGCAGGTCRCCATTCAGAAGATCTCTGTCACTTCATGAGGAGTGAAGAGATCCCCATGGAAATCTTTCAGTGTGAGCAGTGTTTCCTGCCTGCCCCAAATAGTGACAACTGACTGTCATCATCATTTTCCTCAAGTGAATAAAGATCAGTCAATAAGTCAGGGTTGCAGGCTGGAGGGTGTGTGGTGGTGATGGCTGGCAGAGCAGGGTGTGAGGTGGTTGGTCAGAGGATGCTGGGCACCCAGCAGAATTAGGATAAAATACTGCTTTCTTAATTAATGAGAAAAAGAGAAAGACTTTTTCCTTCTTTCTGTGTGAACTACCTGCATTATCTACACAGGTACAGTATGAAGTGACATTTGGCAGGGCATTAACACGGTGCTTTTTCAGCAGCCCTGGGCATTAAGCACCGAGGACTCTGGAAGACTGGAGGTGACAGGTCCTGCTGCTGAGCCGTGTCCTGGTCTGGCAGGAGCAGAGTGCCTTGGGTGGCTGTATGCAGACAAAATGAGAACTAATCCAGCCAGCTACCACTTTGGAGTCCAACTGCTTTTAAGCAGTTATGTAGCTGACTGATTAAAGGCATCATGCTTTAAGTTTTGCTGTGGGTTTCTTAAGAAATATACTTATTTCATGTCTTAATGGAGTTCTGCTGATAGACCCTGGCAAGCTGAGTGTCTGTTGCGTCGGCAGAGTACAAATACCATGGGGAGAATGTCTGCTTCCAGTGACACAGAGTCTGACACTTCAAAATAAAACCAAAGCTGTAGTACAGACTGTAAGAAATCTGTTGTGATTTTTTTTATCCCCTTATAAAGGTTGCAAAATATGTTAACTACTGATAAGCAGTTTTCCTTATTTGAAGCAAAAATTATTTATTTGAAGGAGTATTATTAACTTGAAAAAAAATATTAAATATCAGCTATTATTTCACAGAATATTCAGGCCTGTTACATTAGAGTCTTCTGTTTAAACCTGCCACCTGAGCAGGTGATGGAAGGGGTACTGTAGGGCTAGTATGTGATTAGGGATTTGAAAGTATCTGGTTTAGGACAAACTARAAATATGTGTAGTGTTCCTCACTGGCTGAGGAATGTTTTCASTTTCTATTTCACATAATTTCATAATTTCTTAGAGGCCAGATCCTGACAAGAAGTGCAATATTATATGGACATCAATATTGTATGGTCTTCGTTGGCCAGAGTTGAGTTGAGTCACATCCTCACCACAACAGGGAGCTCTGGTAACTGCACAGTGGAGCTTGGCTTTATCCTGTTCACTCTCACTGTTCACCCAGTTTGTTACCAGCTCTAGGAGAACTGCAGGGTATAAAGGGGTTGAGGATTTCTGCAGAGGCTGTACTTTGTGCTGCCTAAGCTGCAATGACCACAGCTTGGCCCCTGAGTCAGGCATGGCCCTGATCCTGCAATTCCAGGTTTGCAGCTGCTCACAGTGCCAGCTTACAGGGCAGGGAAACTSCTTCACAAATAGTACAGAGGCTCAGTTTCCTCTCTCTGCTACCTGTGGCACTGGAGTACTTACAGAAGTATTTTGTCCTGTGAATTACAATATTCTAGCTGTGTGCCATTATGTATTTCAATGCTCAAGAT